AGTTTGAAACGATGATTGAATGATAAGAATAAATACCCGATATTACGATCGTGATATTACGATCGTGATATTACGTCACGAGCGAAGGTCGAGCGAACATCGTTAATTTCACACGAGTGTATTACATCGAGTTTCATACGTCAGTTTTTCTACGACTGATGGTTGTTTTCCTAAGTTAAACTTTTACATTGAATCGTTTCGTTGCAGTTGACATTTAAAGTAAAATTAAGATCAAACGTATTTTCAATAATATTCCACGTAAAAATTCTAATAATACAATAAATTAAAACTGACATGCATACTATAATATTAAATTCAGTTTAAATGTACATAATCCAACGAAACATTTACTAAAAGGATTCTCAGTGATTAATTGTCAATACTTGGTTTGTAAACTTCTCTGTGATTGTTCAAGTAACTGTATCATAAAGAAAACTCTATCGTAATGAGTATCATTATGCAACAAGTTGCGCATCACTTCACTTGGTGGAATATAGAGCCTGGGAAAGCAACATTCTATCAACAATAGAAACTCAATGTATTTCAATTAGACTAAGAATAGGGCAGTTCAGTTTGACACAATTTCACCTTATGTAAAAAACTTTTATAAACAAATTATTTTACATGTGGGCCCGGCATTAATATGTCTCACCTGTTAACAGAGTCCAGTAATTATCAATGTGAGAGAAGAGGTTTCTCCTCCAACCTGAGAGAATGTTTGAATAACATGGAAGGGGTATGTGCAGTAATTAAATACTTGAAAAACTTTGAATTATAATTATAATCACATATAAGAATCACACTGTCAATTATAACATGATAAATATTGCAAAACTCTAAATTGCTTATCTGTATCTACTGCGTATCTGTACAATGAAATTTGTAACTCTATGTAATTCTATTATGAGTCACGTGTTACTGTTTCGCCTGCTACCTCTTGACTGTAATTAAGATCGCTAATGACCTTGCCGTAGATGCGACCAAAAAATATAAATAAATAAGAAAATAATATATCTTATATTTAGTAATGTACTAGTCTCTCAAACTTATACACTTAAAACATGTTTATACTTTTACTTTACATTTTATTTTATTTTCAAAATTGGTAAATCAATGATTTATCAAACTGAACTTCCCACATCTTTCCACAATAATATGTATGTGAAATGAATTTAAACTCTTAAAGAATTAATAAAAAGATATATATAACATTGCATTCACGTTGGGGTAATTAAATTCTTAAAATATGCACAAAAACATACGAATATTTACGCGATTAAAAATGTACAGAATATATGTTTACTCACATATCACACACAATTATGTTTCTAGTGGGCATGTTTGCTAAATGCATAAACTACTTGCCTGTCTCAATGCTTTTATTTTACAATAATATTTTATCAACATCCATTTAATTTCTTAAATCGTCATTTTCTATTGAGATCACGGCGGTTCAAGTAAGTAGACTGCAACATTAAATTTCTTGTATTTAATATTAAATATCGTAAATTGTAATGTCATGTGTAAAGAGCTGTCTCTTCCTTTGTCCCTAGACTCGCAAATAATAACACTTTGACAGATTATCACAATGAACTCATCAAACTCACTCATGAAACTCATCATGAACTTCCACATGTTGCATGTAACTACATCTGATAGTGATGAAATATTAATTCCATATAGTTACTAGTATCGCAAATAGTTAATAGTACCGGATGTAACAAGAACGTTGTTCTCTTATTTCATTTAATTACGCTTTACAATAAAGGAAGAGTGAGTTATTTCCATTCCACTTCCCGGGAATCTGAATTTTGATCAGTTTGATGAGAAGAACGAAATTTCCCACATCCCAAAATCGTAATACGACTAAAAACCTTGTATGTATGTATATATTACTTTTTCAGTGTTGATTTCCTGATGAAATACTCTAATAAGAAATCAGCATTATTTAAAAGGAAGGACTCCGCAAATCAACCATTTTTTAACAGAATAATGTTTTAGTAATTATCGTACGGATCGACCCACGTAAGTAATACTCATATTTAACTGTACAAGAACGTGGAAACAGGGCATTAATAAATAACCAAAGATAAATATTTTCAAGTATAATAATAATAATAATAATAATAATAATAATAATAATAATAATAAAAAACAACAACAATTAAAAACAGTGCCACATTGACTTGCCCAGCGAGGGGAACATTCTGGTAATTAATATTTTCAAGTATCATAGATAAAATAGTTTTAAATTGCCTTGTCCAATGAGGGTAAGTAGTATTAGTAAACACGTATAATGAAACATTTTCATTATATTAAAATTGTTAGACTAAAGGCTTTTCTGCCGACATTTGTTCAGCGTCATTTTCAACACCAACCACAATAGTTGACATTTTTCGATTAGATTTATCGAAAGTTGACGTCGTTTCTTCTGGAGTGTGAGGTTATCTTTAGTGAAGCGAAGATAGTGAGTTTTAATAGAAAGTTAGTGAAGTCCGAATATCAGTAAGTGTTATTACTTGCCTTCGCATGTGAGTGTATATATACACTAGATATCAATCAATCGTCTGAAGCATGCGTCTCTTTTGAAAATCAACTGCGTGTTTAAAGTTAAGGTGGATAACAAAATTTCCTGCTCTGATCCCAGATACGCCATATCTTGCACTTTCTACTAGTTTGAATGCTCTGGAATTTTGAACAAGTGGGTGTTACACACTGTATTGTGTCGAACAAATCACAGAGCTTTATTGCGGCTATTTGTTTTTACCTCAGTTAACAATACGGACGCTGAAAGATTCTCAAATTTCCAAACGTAACTTGATTTTCAAACTATTGTATTTATCATGTTTCTCTTCCTCCACGATTACAATGTTTGGACAACATCGCACAGCAATATCTACAATTAGAAACAATTTTTCGCCTACTTCTTATGTCTAGAGAAAGATGTGAAATGCTGCGGCAAAAAATGGTGATTGTTCTGCAGAAAAGGTCCTTTTGTAAGTTCCTGATACCAAAAGAACTGTATAATTCTTGTTCATATATGTATTAAATTACTTTGTCTAACACGTTGTGTAGTCACACATGGCAGATATTATGGCTCTTTGAATTCATGGTTTGTGGGTTCTTGATACGAAAAATTAGTTTAAGGCTGCTTATTTGGGCAGTGGTAATCTGTCCATCCGTCCATCAGTCCATTTGTGAACAATTGCAGAGACCAAATAGTTGGCAGTATTATTGTCGCCAATATTAGTATTCCTCAGAACAAATGGCAGATATTGTAGCTCTTTGAATTTGAAACGAAAATTTGGTTTTGGGGTTTACTTTACATGAATCCTTAACAGCATTTTCACATTCGATGTAATTTTCTGTTGTTTGAGAGAACGCAGGTACTGTTATAATGTCTAAAATGTTGTAGAATTTGGACAAATTCGAATGATCTACGTTGTTCCGTGCTCCGTACGCACCCGATTTGCAAGGAAGAGAGCAAACTGATGAGATCAGTTGTGTGTGTGTGTGCGTGCGTGCGTGAGTGCGTACTTGCGTGTGTGCACACTTCACTATTAGCACGGGTTAACCGCAACTTCTGGAGAACATCTGCGTGACGCGAAGTTGCAAAATCGCCCGCCACCCGACTTCTCCGGCCAGACGTCACCCGTCTCCTCTACTGCTCATCCCAGCTTAGATGCAGCGCATATCAGGGCGTATCAGCGGACAAGATGATCGAAACATCAACATCACAGACTTCGTCGCGGCGTCTCCCGGACAGCCAAGAGCACTCTCATTGTACTTCTATTTAAATAGAGTGGCACTTCACGGTCACGAGCTGGATGGAGAGGAGAATGATGTCATACAATCGAGCTACGTTACGACTTAAATTTTTGGTATCGGTGCTCCTGATTGGATAATATTGTCCCTCCCTCCCCTTCCAGCTCGTGACCTTGAAGTTCCATTCTGTTTAAATCGGTTTATAGAGAGTGTATATAAAAGCAAATTTAGGCAATCGTTTGAATCATGTCTCCTTTCAACAACAAATATCAGTGATTATAATAATATGTGATGTATTATATTTTAAAATAAGGTGTCTATCAAGATTTCTTCTGTGTCTCACTGCAACAGACGTCTTCTAAACATTGTAAATATTTAAAAATATTTCAATTTCATTTTCAGAAACATGTTTATCCCTACGTTGTCACTGATTAGTGAGTGTGCTTGTATTGCCTCAGAATTTGAAAACCTCATTTCATTAGCCTTACAGAACAAGTGCTACTGGAGCACATGAAACCATTCTAGAGAGAGTTTCCATTTTACGTATTGTGCATATTGTGACGTCGTGGTAGCAAAATGAAGACACCAATATGAGGTGTACGTAAAACTAATTTATTTACAGGATTCTACAACTATGAACAGCTCTTGGGTTGTTTTCGCTATCTACCTCCTTTTTTCTCTCAGGCACACTGCTCCCGGTCTCCCGGCTAGTGCAGCTTCCAACCAGACGCTTTACCGCTTCGTTTCTCCGGACACCCAGTGCAACGCACTTGCAGTGTTGCGAGAACACGTCCGCCACCCGAGCTAGCAGTCGCGACAGCACGCGAGGCAATCCGAAAGCGGATTCCCTCTACCTGGCATCTCTTCTCTCTTATTTTGAGGCAATCACGTGATTGCCCACAGCCTTCCTAAGAGTAGGGGAGGTCTCTTGGCCAACACATGGACACTCTTGAGTCTTTTTGGAGCATTCCACCCCGACACTCCAGAGCTCGCCCTTGTTTTGCGCCACCCTCAGTCCTAGCATTCCAACGCATGTTTGAAACCATGGTTTTCAACTGCTGACGTTACAATATGTAGTACTTTTGTATTGTAAATTATCCACAGACTTTCCTTTCGGGCAATGTAATAGCAAGCGATCTGCTAGTATAATAATATAAATTTCGTTGTTGCGGTGTCGCATCTATGTCTTCTTGCATTACCTGAGTAAGCAGTGTCGTGCTGATTGTGTGTTGCAGACGGTGTCGGTGGCTGTGTCGGTGTTGACGCTGACGTTCATCAGCGTGGATCGCTGGTACGCCATCTGCTTCCCACTCAAGTTCAAGTCGACGACCAATCGCGCAAAGACTGCCATCATAATAATTTGGCTACTGGCGCTTGCATTTGGTAAGTACGAAACGCCAGGAAGTTTCCTTTGAAAGTGGTACTCTTGATTTTTCAGGAAAATGTTTATCATTATGCTTTATTTTATCAGCTTTTACGTTGCTTTCGATATACAAAGTCGATATTGTGTATGACAAGAAATCATACAAACATATTGGCGTACTCTTTGAAAAAGTACAAGAATCATAGATCAATAATTCAGATACAATAGGGAATCGTACAACGTTTCAGAGAGTGTTTAAAATTAACTATAATACAGATATATATAACCGTAAAAATATTATTTTTTGTAAATTAAACGGTATATGCACCCAAAACGTATAAAAGTTATTTGTTTAAAAATGCCGCATACACGATACATCATGTCTCCTCAGAACGCGTGACGTCATCTGTGTGGAACGAGCTACAAGGCAAATCGTGTTGTGTGCTGTTTAAAAGATTTTTGTGTGGTTTGGGCAGTGGCGTGTGGTGATTTTTTTTCTAGGGAAGCAATTATATTTCTGAAGCAAGATTTTTAAAATTTCACATGTATATGAAGTCAAATTAATAATTTAAACTACCTATTTAGAAAAGAGTGAGTGTTGCTTTGCAAAAATGGCGATGACACTATCGTAAAATTTATAATTTTTGCTCAGTCATTTCATAAATGACCTTCAACACTGAAAATTTCCTAATTATAATGTCTGTCCTGCCTTGTATAATTTCTCAACACCTTTTTATACGATGCTATGTCCAAAAGCTGCGTTCAACGGATGCAATTGTTGTCACAATAGTCATAACAAATTTGCATTTTCAACACTTCTATGAATGCCTTTTCCAGATTATTTTTTCCGAAAACAGCACAACAATTCTTGAGCACTTAGTTTCTTAATACCATCAGTCACACTATACAGAACACTCAATTCTAAGCGCAATGGGAGAGATTGAAAATTGCAGAACCTCAAGTTCAGTTGCTCTACAATATTGTCAATTATTTCGCAGAAACGTGAGCGATAGAAGTCTTTTGAATCTTGGTTCTGGAGTCTCGAATGCCCAGAGCTTAATTCCAAACTTCTTTCAAACAATCCCTTTTTTGCTTTTAATAAGTTCTGAAACTTGTTTATTTGTTCTACACAGTATTCAATGCCATTACTCTTACTTGGCAAAATATTGAATAGGTTTTCTGTTAAGGGAAAAATTTCATTAAAAACAATAAGAAGGAAATTGGAACCTTCAACTTCTTTTCAGTACCTAACTCTAAAAATCCTCTTGATAACGTGAGAGTTTCTGCATCCCAATCACTGTCGCCTTCGACAATATTTTCAAATTTATTTATTCATAGGTTCTCGATAACCATACTCAGTTTGAACTAATCTACTATTGTAATTCCATATAGTAGGAGCTGCTTTTAGAAGCCATTTGTTAACCTCATTTTCTAGAGTATGGCAACGTTTAGGAAACTGCGAGAAAAATGTTGATAAACCAGTTAAAGTTTTAAAACATATTGTACATTCTTTGATTTTGGAAACTGACTGAGATAATACATGATTTAATTTATGAATAAATTAACACCACTGAACCGAGCACAAGCACATGCAGAGCCCACCACAGGCGCTCAGTTTCACGCTGTATGCTATTGGCCGATTGCATCCCAACGCGAGCTCGACTGAATGAACCCACGCGCGCCCACCACACAAACGCATCTGCTGATCATATCATTTCTTATGATGGAAGGCGTCAGCCCAGAGCTTCGAATGAGCTTTACATCCGTATTTATTGGTGACAGTAAGAATTACGTGCTCATTTTGGAAAGGTAAGATTGAACGTGCCAAATTTAAAATGTTTTTACTTGGAATACAAATTATTACTTGAATTCTAAATTATAAGTCAATTGGTATTTAAATATAAGATATGAGGGAAAGCAATGTTTCCAATGCTTCCTTGGGATAAATATCCCTAAGTTCAGAGTCGTTATAGAATGAAAAACATATCATGTTTTTTTTAATTCATTCATGAATGTATAAATCCTTCTACATCAACCCCAAATGAATTATTTATTGATGTACCACAGGAAGCAGACGTGCGAAAAAATTAGTCAGTTGTCCAGACGAAAAAGCGTCGGAATGTGTCTAACATCGCCAATAGCTCGTTCTGGGGCACACGTGAATCAGATCACAGATTTTTTTGTAGTTTCTATTTCTATTTCACTAATGATTGAAGATGCCTCACCACAGCACTAGCTTTATCACTGCCCGACAGAGCGACTATACCTTGTACTCTATGTAATATCCTTATTACTTACCATTAACATTACCGTGTTGAGTGATAAAATTATAATTTCTTATAATTGAAAATGCCAAAGGTATTGTTCAATTCATTTAACCTACATAGTTTCACTTCAGTGTACATGCGGAAATTTTAAAATAGTCTTCTGCTGTAACTTGTCCCTTTAGATACACCAAAATGTAATTTACTAATTGACAGAGTAATATGTAATGAACCGTAAGCTATAAAATGGAGTAAGAACAAAATTTAACACTTTATGATGATAAAGCATGCATTTTCAATATAAAACAAACAGGAAAGGAGTTGGAACTACAATAAACATGAAACCAGATGAAACATTTTTAAAAAACGTTTGAACAACCTTGTTCTAAGCAAATATATCATTTGTGAATTTTGTAATAAATAAAAACATTGAATATCATAACTCATTTTATTTTTTACTATCACAAAGAATAGAGTAATTTTTTTCAGAATTGGTTTTGTTGGAGTCGACGAAGAGTAAATATATTAGATTTTATTTGTTTCTTTAAAATTTTAAATAATAAGTATTTTACAAAAATATTCATTCTATTATCGTTTTAGTTCATGAATATCCATTCTAACTATATTCGAGATTTTATTTTTATTACTGTCCGATTGCCTATTATTCTTAACTAGCGGAACCCGCCCGCGACGTCCTGCCCTCCATCTCCCTCTTTCTCCTTCCCTCTCTCTCTCTCTCTCTCTCTCTCTCTCTCTCTCTCTCTCTCTCCCTCTCTCCCTCTCCCTCCCTGTCGGTCTCTGCGTCTCTGTATTTTTCGTTTGTGTCAGTATCGGTCTTTTTCTGTCTCTGTCTCTCTCTGTCTCTGTCTCACTCTGTCCCTCTCTTTTTTCTCTCTTTTTCCTTCTTTTTCTCTCTCTTTTTTCTCTCTCTTTTTCTCTATCTCTCTCTCCATTTCTCTTTCTCTTTTTCTCTCTCTTTTTCTCTCTCTTTTTCTCTTTCACTTTTTCTCTCTCTCGCGCACATCGATGTCCTGACTTTCTCGGCCTCGCCCTGCGTCACACAGCAACGCTTAGCAACAATGAAACGCAAGTGGAGCTCAGTTTAAATAAAAATGCAATTAAAATGAAGCTCAATTTTGTGCTGCAGCACCATCTAGTGAAGTTACAACAAAACTAACAGGTTACAAACCTTTATGGATGAAAAAACGTAGACGTGCGAACTTTCATGGAGATCGGACACACGGTGTGTTCTGAGATAATATTCAAGAAAATGATACATCATTCGTTGATCAATATGCAAAAGTGAATCGTAACCTAGGAGTTTTTATCTAAATTCAACTGTCCTACAATAGAAAATGTACAATGTTCCATGAAAAGAAGCAAAAAAAGGCTATCGCTATGCGGAAAAGCAACGTATGAAAGTAACTGCGGATGAGTCCTTACTTTCATCATTTCGTTACCCGTCTCATATGTATGAACACATTCACAAACGTAGGGTCACGGCCTTAGACCGCCGGTCAACGTTTGTGTTTCTTTCTCGTCAATTAGTTGCCATTGTTTTACTTCAGCAGTAATTCAGTCTTAATCTCGAAGGTTCCGCTCTACCCTGTTGTACTGTACCTGCCACTCCATTTCCTCGCTTTTTTATTGTCTTAGTTTCTCTGCCCTTCCTGCAAACGGTATTTGCCGATCCGTATGGGGGGACGACCTTGTTTTATTAATTTCCGTTAACATGATTTTTTTACTTACAATTCAATTAAATACAGTCCGACAATGGAGTATCTTTCGTTTTAAAACAAATTCACGCTTCCGTTGAATTTATCCTTAGTTTAAGTGTGCAAAGATTCAAATTCGAATATTTCCATTTTAGTCGTTTTCGATTAATCTAATGAGAATTCTGATAATATTCATAATTTGAAATTTCTGATTAATTCATTTGTTATTCATTTGAATTTTAAAGCAAATTTTCGACATTTCTTGGAATGAAAAAAATACACTAAAAGTTTTCCGAATACACCTCTTGCAAAAAAAGTTTTGTGCGCTTCAGTCTAAGACTTTCTAGTTCCTTTTCTCGGCTCCTCATCTCACCCACACTCCTTCGTCTCATAGTAGCCCAAAGCGAATAAATGGACAGTGCAGACGACAATTCATATTTTGTACTATATTGTATTCCTCGTCATACCATAAAATCTGGTTGTATTTCACACATATTTCATTAATTTAATCAAAAATAGTAAAACTCGTATATGACGTCTGGGCAAAGATCATCTGCGCATGTAAAATTTTTCATATTTCATTGCATACATAGTAAAACTGGATTTAAAACATACTCTTGTTGAGTAAATCATTCTTAGTAACGTGATTTCTGAATTAATTCTAATTTTGAATAATTCCAGTATTAATTAATTTGTATAACTTTTTTATTTACTCGAATTTTAGTAATTCCAAAATCAAATAATTCGAAGGTATAAATAATGAGAGTTTTGGGCCTTCTCTTTCTACTAAAGAGAGCCAAATGTAGTTTTTCGTAACTCAACTCTCGCAGGAGAAGCATTGCACGCTGTTCGGGGTCGTTGGCTGCCTCAGGATCCCCCGCTCCATTTCTTCGCTTCCTCATCCCACCGTCGCGTCGCCTCCTTCCTCCCCTCATTGGATCCCCTGGCGGTCGGCGGATTTGCGGGCTCGTGCGGGCGACGATCTTCTTTTATCTCCCCGGGGGATTCCCCTCGCGTGGGAACGAAATCCAACAAGGAGGCTTAAGAGCCAGGGAGAACCGTCTCACTTCTCGACGACTTAAATCTCCTACAGGTTTCTTCTCCCACGCTCCATGCCTCTTGTGCTTTTATATTTGCCTCTTGTGCGATTATATATTATGAATGCTGCGTGACCACGTATTTCGACGTGTATTAGTTATTCTATTTGAGAAGGGTTTTTTTTTGTATTCAGAGGGTTGCTTGGAGGTAAAAGTATTCCGAAGGCGGAATTAAGTCCTTTAATAACGGCATGTGCCAGTGACCAGAGCACAATTTGGGGAGGAACACTTTTTCTGTTTAAACTGTAAAGTTGTCTTTGTAAATGTTTTCTTTCCTTTCATAAGTATTTCTCCATTGTAAATTATTTGGCTTGTTGGCGGAAGTCAATGTTTCCTTCAAAGATGCAAAGAAACTGTTTTTGGACTTGTGAAAGAATTCTGATAACTTTGTTTCAATTCTCCATTAATATATAGAATCACACACCTCTTACCCATTTCTTGCTTCCATTTTATTATCCTCCAGTTCATCCTCTGAATAGTTGGTCTCAAACGTTTTGGTGCTAATTGTCATTATTTTGTTAAAAGTTACTAATAATATTACAAGTATGCATGCACTAGATCATAATCTTCTCTCAAGGTTAAACAATATAATTTTGATTCATTTGCTCCATAAGCAATTTATTTTCTTAGATGCCTCAATGCATAATTTGATATCGCTACCGTGCCTCTGACAGAGAGTTTCTAGAGTTTTGAGTCCCGATGGTGACAGGATTTTCGACACTGGCTAAAGAGCTAGGTCGTGTTCATCCGCTGTCTGAAGGAAAATTCGAGCATACGGCAGGTTGTTTTCCGTAGTTTCTCCAAAGACTAATGTTGGAGCAATACCTTATCAAACGGGTCACGGATCGTGCGCGATCTTCCCTTTCCTTCCTTGTCCAAAACCTCTAACATACTTCCACATACGTGCACTACACTACCACACATGTCGGGAGATCAGTCGGGAGCTCAGAGCTTGTCCCGAATGGAGTGCTACCTCGCTGGTAGAAGATGACTAGTTGGGGAACCTAGCCCCACGTAGGTCTGACCCGGATCTCGCCATTGCGTAGGGGAAGGTTCACTGCCACCTCTCGCGATAAAAAACATGCACGACATGTATGGAACTAATGTTCTTAGACTGTGACGCGCCCAGGAACACTAATCAATAAAGACATGAACAATTTGATGCCATTTATTTCCGGTCGGTGATTTTTACCAATTGGAGAATTTAATAACTCTTAGTGTGGCGTCTTGCCGGGGCAATAAATTACAGACGTGAACGGCTTGTAAATATTTAGTATTTATTAGATATCAAAATACTCCGACACCATAATTTACTATATTACAATATTACTCAAATAAATTGACCGTTACAAGAAGGAAACTTTCCCTGGTTACCCACTACGCTGGCCCCGATTTAATTAATTACCATGTTTCGTGTGATGCACCAGTACCTTACGCGAGCATACCAGCAAGTATGCCGCACCTAACCGTCACACGATGTAGCACGTCGGCTTCGGTTCCCCGCCTCGGTCGCCTATGCATTACAAATGCAACGGCCGTGCACAACCCACACGACGCCCTTACCACGCGGCCAAGATCAATGAAAAACAGACCTCCCGCAGCTAGGTTCGGATAGAGCTCCGCTCTAACTTCATAGGGGCGTGCATCGGAGACTGCCGTCAAACCCGCAGTGTCCGCTGACGCCGTTCCGCGCGTGTTCGGGGTGCTCTCCACATTTCCCTCCCAAACCTGCCCTTGCTCCCTAGCCTTGTGCAGGTCCAGCGTCTCCTCTTCCGCCGCCGCTGTTCCACGTGGCTGGATAAGTAGGTCTCTGTACTGGCGGAATAGATATGACGCCATATTATGATAGTTTATTTGTATATTTTATACCCTACCAAACAATTTTTTCCATCCTGAAAAGTTCTTCTTGCTATTAGGTTCTAGAGGTACAACTTTCTCTAATGAACGAAATTCTGCTTTCAGGTGTAGTGTAACCGATAATTCGAAGATTTCGTTGCTCAAAACATTTTTTTCATTATTATTTTGATCACTTCACCGTGATATTCTATCGTAAGTGACTTTCATACATTCATTTCATAAATTCTGCCCTTCATATTTCATTAAATGTAAACATTTTCTCTATAATTAGTGATTACGTCTTTGGGTTTTCAAATGTTACATGAGTAAGTTGTGATGTCTCATAAATGTGTAATGCAATTTCAATTTTAGGCAATATACTTTTTAGGAAAAAGGAGTGTGTGCATACTATTTCTTATTATCAATCATAATCCTTTTCTTTCTTTTTCTCTAACATTTACAAACAGCCCTCGCAGTCGTACCGAACAGAATATTGAGCCTGTGCTTTCTGTTCGGGTTTTCCTCTCCCCAAATAACCACCCACAAAATGAGCCAAGCGCCAGAAATGAGTTAATGGTGGCAATGTTTTTTAAAGGCCGTACGTAAAATTTTCTTTTGAATTTTCTTTTGAAAAATATTTTTTCATCAAACGTCTTTTAAATTCCAACTTTAAGCAAAGAATTAAACCTCTACCAAAAAATTTAATTTGACCCTATATATCACAAGTAATTTCCCGCTGTTTGTACTCAAATATGAATACCCAGTAGTCCCGTGCGTCACATTAATGGGTATTATACTGAACTTAATTATACCCTCTTCCGTCCCCTTCTTCCTCTCTCCCTCTCCGCTCTCCCTCTCCACCTCTTTCCCTCCCCCTCTCTTCCCCTCCCCCTCCCCTTCTCCCTGTCCTCTCCTTTTCCTTTCCTCTCCCTCTTTCTTCTCATGCCTTTCCCTCTCTCCTCCTCTCGCTCTCTCCCTCTCACCTCCTCTCGCTCCCTCCCTCTCTCCTCCTCTCGCTCCCTCCCTCTCTCCACATCTCTCTGCTCTCCCTCCCCTTTTCTCTCCCTTTGTCTCTTTTTGTGGCCTAGTCTCTCCACGAAAAATAAAGCATAACTGAATTGAATCGTGAGAATGGCGTGTAAGAGCTGGTTTCATGTGTTTTCTGACCCCCTCCTCGCCGTGTTGGTGCGCAGACGTGCCGGAGCTGGTGGTGCTGGAGGCCGTGCGCAAGGACGACTGGAGCCTGGACACCATCCTGCTGACGCAGTGCGTGGCGCACTGGCGCGACGACGCCGAGATGACCTTCACCATCGTCAAGAGCATGCTGCTGTACACGTGCCCGCTCGTCTTCATGTCCGTCGCCTACTGCCAGATCGTGCGCGTGCTCTGGAAGTCGGACAACATCCCGGGCCACACGGAGACGGCCAAGTACTCCGTCTCCTGCAACAACGGTGAGCGCGGAAGGGCTGGCGGCTGCTCTCTATGTTTCTCTCTCGCACTCTCCTTCCCCTTTCTACCTCTCTCTCCGCCCCTCGCCCTCCCTTCTCGCCGTATCACCCCCCTCTCCCACTTCCTCACTCTAACGCACACACTCTCTCTCCCTATACTTACCTCCCCCTCCCCTCCTTTCCTCTCCCTCTTTCTTCTCACGTCTCTACCTCTCTCTCCTCTTGCTCTCTCCCCCTCTCTCCACTCTCACCCCCCTATCTCTCTCTCCCTTATCCTCTCTCCCTCTTTCTGCCCTTTTCATCTCTCTACCTCTCTCCCCCTCTCGCTCTCTACCTCTCTCTTTCTCCTTCTACCTCTTTCTACATCTCTACCCTTTTCTTTCCCCTCCCTTTCTCTCTAATACTCTTTCCTTCTTATGTATCTTCACAACCTACTTACTCCTACCTCCTCCTAATCCCTGGAATTCTTCACGCGCTCATCTCGCTCCCACTCCCATTTTTTACATTTTTTCTCCTCGTTCCCCCGTTTCCTCCTCTTCCTGCAAGAGTTATTGCGCTGCGTGGGTGAAGCGGTGCTGCGAAGCGCCGGCGGTGCACGCGTGGAGTGAAGATCCTCAGCAGCGGCACGGAGACGTGGCCGGGACGCGGCCGGGCCACAGCAGGGCAGTGGGAGCCTGTGGTTCAAGGGGCTGCACCAGGGGTCTTTTTCCTCAGAGGGTGGGTATCGAGCTTTTCGCCTTGTCCTTACCGCCTTCCGGTGCGCAGGCTGGCATCGGGAGACGCCAAAGCGCAATGTTCTGTATGGGCCCATCCCATGCCATTCCGGTACGAGGGCATCAAATGGGGAGGGGAGATCAACACCGAAACGCAAAGAATGCAATGTAAATTAAAGGACTTTTTATTTACATATCATCTAATTATATACGTATTCCGCAACAGGTAACAATAATTTTCTTCGAGTTTCAGTTATCAACACAATATTTTCAGTTTTTGCGAGAAGAAATTCTTAAATATTTTTAACATTTTCTGAACATTCCAAGGAGACACATATCGCAATGTCCATTTGTCAAAAATTAAATCATCCCTTACAATGTTCCCACAGTTGCACAATTATCTACATCGACAGTCACTAAAATGGCAACGATTGCACTTTGCAAATATTGCAACGTTACGCCTACTCGATGCTTCCTAGCTTTGCAGACTGTCTTCGGAGTGGCACGTCTCTCACATCCGCGGGTCCGCTCCTTTAAAGTCCCGGAAGAGGGAAGGCATCAACTGAAGCCACTGTAGTACCTCTGACTGTGAGGTCCTAGTTTCGAGTCCGACGGTGGTAGGATTCTCGACACTATCTAGAAAGCAAAGTCGAGTTCTTTCGCTGTCTGGAGGAGAATTCTAGCGGAAAGCTGCTCTGTTCGGTAGTTTTCCGTGGTTTCTCCTATCAACACCCGGCGAATGCCGGACCAGTACTCCAGCAAACAGGCCACGAACCGCGCGCGATCTTGCATTTCCATTCATTTTCCTATTCTCAGCGCTAACTTACACACAGATACACTCACATGTAGTACACTACTACACATCTTAGGAGACGAGCTTCGAGCTTGTCCCGGTTGAGGTTGTTGCCCCGCTGGTAGGAGATACCTATTTAGGAATTCCACTCTCCGATGGTAAGTTGGCGCCGGATCTTGCCATCCAGCAGGAAAAAATCATCCGGGCCAAGGCAAACGCGTGCACTACACTTACGGGACCTGAGCAGTTGACCCGCCCGGAATCGCTAATCAATAAATCAATCAACTGCCGTCTCGCAGTCACAGCGACGCTTCGCTAGCTTTGCATAGTGCCTCCCGCACGCGCGGGTCCAGCCACTTCTCCGTGGGCGTCCTGTGGGGTGACGCGTGCGGCGTGCGCTAATCATCACCACCTCCCAAGCAAAACGCGTAAACTACACTTATGGGATCTTAACAGTTGACGCGCCCGGAATCCCTAGTCAATCAATCAATCAATCAAT